TATATATGCACTATATATATATATATATATATATATCACTAGAAAGCAGAGATGCAACCGAGAGATCATATAAATTAGTCATGTAGATATGAAGCCTGGCGAAATATCAGCTTGACACTCTCCAAGTCGGTTTCACGAAGTTATTAACAAATGAAAATATATGATTACAGGCAATTCTGGCTACTGCGCAGAAAGGGTTAGCAATATCACCATTGAACATCTGAAGGTTGTCCTGTTTGTGGTGACAAGAACACAGATGGCAAGCTGCCTGAAGGAGCATACCATCTCCTGTTGATGTTATAGAGTCGTGTCAATAGTATAGACACGATATTACACCTAGTGAGCTTCCTACTTGCCTGGTGTGACTGCATTAGATTGATTTCTGTAGTCTTGCTATTCGTGTATAGATGCTGCTGACTCACCCACACCTCTTGCAACTCTTTCCCTGTACTAATTTTCTGCACTTTAACCTACCAAATCTTTGTATGCAGTGTTCAGAACCCTGGTGAGTTTAATACTTACCTGGTTTGACTGCATTAGATTGATTTCTGTAGTCTTGCTATTCGTGTATAGATGCTGCTGACTCACCCACACCTCTTGCAACTCTTTCCCTGTACTAATTTTCTGCACTTTAACCTACCAAATATTTGTATGCAGTGTTCAGAACCCTCGTGAGTTTAATACTTACCTGGTTTGACTGCATTAGATTAATTTTTGTAGTCTTGCTATTCGTGTATAGATGCTGCTGACTCACCCACCTCTTGCAACTCTTTCCCTGTACTAATCTTCTGCACTTTAACATACAAAATCTTTGTATGCAGTGTTCAGAACCTTGGTGAGCTTCCTACTTATCTGGTTTGACTACATTAGATTGATTTCTCTTCCACGAAAAAGTGCCTGCCATACTGGATGGGGTCAAAGCCGTTTTCGTACGCCGGATTCCAACCTAGTTGCAGAGTATATCCTGTACGCAAAGCTGTGGTACGCTGTGCGCGGCAATGGTATAACGTATTCGTATGCTAGTTATATTCGTATATATGTTTGTACGTTGAATGTGCATGCGGGTACGAGTTAACTGTAAGTGTGTAATTTGAGCAGAATTGTGAACACAGGCAAAGCAGAACACTGGGCAAGACGTACTATTGTTAATATTGTAAATATTGTTATAATCGATAATATTGTTAGTAGTGTAAGCTAGTACTTGTGATAAAGGTAGTTGTATAGTATTAGCATTCAACAAGTCATTCATTATGACAATGTGAGATTTTCATTGTGTGGAGCGTGTATAGATATGTGTTTTCCTGTTCAAGTGCATGCATAAGTTTGTAAGTACATTGTAAAAGTGTATAACTCATGTATTTATTTCTAACTGTTATTAATGTATACCCGGATAAGATTGTAATGTAATACATAACACAATCGTTCATATAATGTAGATCAGGTTAAGGCGATGGAGAGGGAGGTAGAGGAGGGGGAGGTAATGAAGAAGGGTGGAGGAGGAAGAGGTAAAAGAGAAGAGGAGGTTGAGGAGGAGAGATATATGAGGGGAGAAGCTGGTAGAAAAGGGAGAAGAAGAGAATGATGAGGGAGGTGAGGGAGGAGAAGGAGGAGGAGGAGGAGGAGGAGGAGAGAAAGAGACGTTGGGGAGAAGGTAGTGGAGGGAGGAGGAAAATGAGAAAAGGAGGTGATGTGGAGGATGGGGAGGGGGAGGTAGAGGGGACAATGTGGTGGCATGGAGAAGATAGAGGATGAGGGGAGAAAGTGACGGAAGAAGGGGAGAGGAGAATGATCGTCAGGTGTATTTGTATTTATATATTATATGCGTAAGCCGTGTATATGTATGTCTATTGAGTAATAAATACACTAATAGCCTTTTGTACACCAACAATGATTAAATTAATAAAAAAATAATATGAATCTTCCTAATTCTACACAATCGCAGTGCAGTGCAGTGCAGTGCTACCCAGTCGCACACACAGTGCAACACACACACAATGCAAGCCTGATCCAAAACTTCCGATCCATAATGGCGCCTGTGGCGTCACAAGTACATGACCAATCCGCTTCCTCTCCTTGTTATATGTAGCTCCTTGGGTAATGCTATCCACCGGGCGTGGAGGGAGGTGACCGCAACGTGGCAGCACTAGTGTTTAGGATAGGGTAGGATTAGGTTAGGGTCAAGTTAGCGGTTAGGGTTAGGGTTAGGTTAGGGTTAGGGTTAGGGTTAGGGTTAAGGTTAGGGTTTAGGGTTTAGGGTTAGGCGTTAGGGTTAGGGTTTTTTGCATCACCATATCTGTCCCCACACCATAGATTAATTTTTGTGGATCACAATGCCTATATATAGCGCTGCGGACATATATATATATATTTTAGTGTAGGGTTAGTGTTGGATGTCTAGTAGTGAGATATTACCGTTAGGTTAATGTT